TATTTTAGCATTCGGGGTGCAGGCCGTGCGCCCGTCGTCGGGATTTCAGAAAACAGGGTTGCACTCGGATTCTGAAAGGATCCTGCAGCTTCAGTCTCTCCACCCTCTTCTGGGACTTGTTGTCGTGCTTGCGCTTGTCCAGGACGCCACCCTGAGCGCGGCGATCGGCCGGCTTCTCCATATCCATGGCGTCCAGCCTCCTTGATCTCCTAGTTCCCTTCAGGTCCTGGAGACAAATGGGACTTTCCGAAAATTAGGGTACCTTATTTTGGGGTCCTTATAATAAGGAACCTACTATTTAGGGTACTATATTAGGGTCCCCTATTTTTGGAAACCCCCAAATGTATCAAAGTACATTCCTACAGCTGCGACCCTCAGCGCAGCGATTGGCAAGCGTCTTCATGCCCATGGCATCCTGCCCCATAGATGTCCTAGTTCCCTACGGCTCCTGTCTACAAATGGGTGGTTGTCAAAATTAGGCTCCCTTTTTGGCTCATTATTATAATACGGCACCTATTATTTAGGGTACCCAAAAAGGACCCCTATTTTGACAACTACCCAAATGTATAAAGTACATTCCTACAGCTACACAAGACTTGAGAGACCCTTCAAAGGAACCCCGCCACCCCAGATGTTGCACCATCTTCACTAATATAGGGGCCTTAATACTTCGAACAGGGTTTGTGGGCATATTCCAGTATAGTTACAATAGGAGCCCCCCAAAATAGTATAGGTAAATATTACAGCCCTTAAACCTACCCTGCCTTGTCTTCGACTTTCTGAGTGCTGTCGTCCAAGATGCCTTTGATCCCCTGGTACCTGGATGTAGGGTTTAGGGTTTAGGATGTGGGGTTTGGGGTTGAGGGTTTAGGCTTAGGGTTTAGGGTTTCGAGATTCTCAAAGATCCTTTGCGTACAGACATCTTCCCAACTCACCCGAGCCCTACGACCAGCTTCAGGGTCGTTTTGGTTCCCTGATTTAGGGTACATGCAATAAACGAAGTAATTCAGGGTTTCGGACACAGCCGAGTCTAGGATTTGAGATCTATATGCACATCTAAACGTAGGAGCCCTCTAAACTGTCGGTTTTCAGAGTCCCCCAAACAAAGACGTAATCCGAGACCGTTGATTACCCTCTGGGACGCTTCCGTGTTCGGAACCCTAAACCCTAAACCCTAAGCCCTAAACTCATGAAGTTGTGGCTAGGGCTTTCGGGGTTTGGGGTCCAGGCCGTTGGGGCTTAAGGCGTAGGATCTTAGGATTAAGGGGTTCAAGTTCCCAGAGACTCCAATACCCCCTAATTACGGAATATACCTTAAATCTTATTTGGAGTCTCTGGGTTTAAAGCCTACCCAGGAAACCCAAAGCTCTAAAAGCTTTCCTGTAGGTGCGACAGAACCAACACACTGGAGAATCGAGAACACAACATTGGGTTTAGGTTTTAGGCTTTAGGGTCTAGGGTTTAGGATTTAGGGTTTAGGGTCTAGGGTTTAGGGTTTAAGGTATGGGTTGCACGGGATTGGGTGCCCGGAGAAGTTTCGAATTTAGGGCCACATTATCATTGTTAAGAATGTTATTATTGTTATTATTGTTATTATTGTTATTATTGTTATTATTATTATTATTACGAATGCTGTTTCCATTGTTCAATGTTAATAGTGTTGTTATTGTTATTGAATACTATTGATATTATTACTCTCAGTTTAGGGCTTTAGGGACTCTCCCAGCATAAACCGGAGTGGGACAGTGGGGGCCCCATTCGACGCCGTTGCAGACTGGCTTAGGGTCTCGGTTTTTTGGTTTAGGGTTTGGGGTTTCGGGATTAGGGCTATGTGTTTCGGGTTTAGGGTTTAGGGCTCCAGAGGTCCACATCTCCAAGCGGTGGGATGCGAGGTAATACAGGGGCCTTTATAATTAGAATAGGGTTTTGGGGGTAGATGATACTATAACTACAATAGGGAGGCACCAAAATTGTATTGGGAATTATTTAGGCTCCTATGTTGCCCCACACCGAAAAACATTCAGAGTCCAGTCTTTGGGCTTATTTAAGAGCAGGAAAGCGGACTTTCTCATGACAGAAGTCGAAGGTGTACACTAACAAGCGGGCACCGATCGCAGTCGTCGTCAAGCAGAGGCGCATTGAACACTCTAAGTGCACAGGGGTAGACGGATGCGGCATGCGGCCCTCTCCCCCCCACCCTGCGCCTCATGGCCAGTACTGATTTAGGGGCCTTAATAATTAGAATAGGGTCTTGGGCAAGTTTTGGGGCCCATTATACTATAATCATAATAAGGAACCCCGGAAATAATGTCGGTAATTATTTAGGCCCTTACATAAACCCAAAATCGGAAAACTCTCATCTCCAGGTGCGCATCCCTTCATCCTGAATTCCACATCCGAAATCCTCCTTTGTTTTCTGAATTACACAAGCATCATCATGTTCGGATGTCCCATAACTATCTCCCATCACAACAGTTTGGATTTGGGGTTTCTTACCACTCTAAGCTCAAGGTTCACCCAAATAAAACCTTAAGACTTAACCCTAAACCCTAGCACCCTAAACCTTAAGAACTACACGTTGAAGGCCGACGCCCGAGGTTGGAAGGGCAGTTGGAACAGCATCTCGGAGACTCGGCTTGTCTTTGCTTTTAGGATTTAGGGTTTAGGGTTTAGGGCATCAAAGCTTTATTTTCGGACGGGGGGGGGTGTAGTGTAGTATCATTTTGGAAGGATTAGAAGAAAAGCGCATTATTAGACATAGTATTATTGAACATCGTCGTCGTCCTCGTCGTCGTCGTCGTCGTAGTAGCAGTAGTAGTAGTAGCAGTAGTAGTAGTAGTAGTAGTAGTAGTAGTAGTCGTGGCAGTCGTGGTGGTGGTGGTAGTGGCAGTGGCAGTGGCAGTTGTGGTGGTGGCGGTGGCGGTGGCGGTGGCGGTGG